TCCCCTAGAACTGGAGTTCAAATGGTTGTTAGCCATCATGTGGGTGCTGGGAACCAAACCCAGGTCCTCTGCAAGGGCAACCAGTGTTCTTAACCACTGAGCCATCTCTCCAGCTCCCCTCTATCCAGTTTTTAATGGGTAATGGGTATTTATATTGTTGAGTTGTAAGGTTTCATTTCTTTTTGAATTTGTGATCCTCCTGCCTCAGTTTCCTGAGTAACTACAATTTACAAGTCTATGCCACCAGGCCCAGCAAGAGTTCTTTGTATAGTCTAGGTACAAGATTCCTATCAGCTAGAAGATTTGCAAATGTTTTCTCCTATTCTGTGGATTGTATTTTCATTTGTCTAATGGTGTACTATAAGTCTAAAGTTTTAAAATTTTAATGAACTCTATCATACTATTTTGTTTGCTTATTGCTTAGATATTATACACACACACACACACACACACACACATACACACACACATCTAATTCAACAGCACAAAAGTGTAGCACCTGTTTTATTCTAACAATTTTTAAAATTTTGGCCATATTAAAAATACTAAATCTTTGGGGCTGGAGAGATGACTCAGCAATTAGGAGTACATACTGTACTACATTCGTGTGTGTGTGTGTGTGTGTGTGTGTGTGTGTGTGTCCACACACATTAAAATAAAAATATTTTAAAAAATATTGTCGGGTTGGAGAAATGGCCCAGCAGTTAAGAGCACTGGCTGCCTTACAGAGGACCTAGGTTCAGTTATCAGCACCCACATGGCAGCCACCAGCTGTCTGTAACTCCATTTCCAGGGGATCTAACGCCCTCTTCTGACCTCTGCAGGCATTGCATGACACAGGTGCACTTGTATACATGCAGGCAATACACTCATACACATGAAATAAAACTAATAAATTAGGGGCTGGAGAGATGGCTAAGCGGTTAAGAACACTGACTGTTCTTGCAGAAGACCAGGGTTTGAATCCCAGCACCCACATGGCAGCTAACAACTGTCTGTAACTCCAGTTCCAGGGGATCCAACAACTTCTTCTGACTTCCTTGGGCATTGCACGACACAGATGTACTTACCTACATGCAGGTAATACATGCATACACATAAAATAAAAATAATAAATAAAATATTTTTTAAAAAAACTAATAAATTAAAAAATATTGTCTTCCATTGCATGGATATGTCTTTACACTTATGTGTTTTCTCGTTTTAAAATAATATTTTATAGTTTCAGTGTACAGATTCTATATTTGTTGAATTTATTCATAAGTATTTTATTTTTGTTGGTTTGTTTATTGCTGGTGTGTGTGTGTGTGTGTGTGTGTGTGTGTGTGTGTGTGTGTTTTAACACGGGTCTTCCTGTAGCTCCAACTGGCCTGGAACTTGCTGTGTAGACCAGGCTGGCCTCACAGAGATCCATCTTCCTCTGTGTCCTGAGTGCTGAGATTAAAGGACTGCATTACCCTGCTTAAGTATTTTATTTTTTAATCATACTGTATGTTAAGATTAATTTTGAATTGTTCCCTGTGAGTATATAGAAAAATAATTGATTTTTGCATAT